TTTCGTGGCTGGTTCAGTTCAATTTGAGGTAGTTTTTAGACCAGTTTAGGTTGGTTCAGGAGTTTTGGAGGTTAGTTCACTATGGTTCGAAGGTTTTAAAGGCTAGTTCTCTATTGTTCGAGGGTTGTTGAGTAAAATTGATGAGTGTTGTGAGTCATGCAAGTCTTAGTGATGGGGTAGTGGTGTCTCGAAATGCGTGCTAAGGTGTCGAGAAAGGATTTGAGTATAGTTTTAGGCTATCAAGCTCGTTTATTGTGCTGATTTTGGTGATGGTGATGATTTTGTGTGGTTTTGATTAAAGATATGTCATTGGAGGCACACCAAGACTAGTGAGTTGGGTGAGGGTGATTGGGACTTCTTTTTTGGTTCAGCTCTTGTACGGTGAGTGATGATACCCTTCCTATACATGTGATTTTCATACTGTGCTTCCTAACATGATGTTATGTGATTTTCTAAACTGTATTTTGGGTATATGTTAAACTTAGGATATGTTATGTGATTTATTATTTGTCAGTGAGCTACGTTAGTATGCAATATTAGTTTTGAGATTTATAGATTGTATATGATTGTCTATCTGTTTGATTTGACATGTGGGGAGTCAGTGATGCACTGAGACCGTATTGCTCCGGTCCTGAGATAGAGGATGTCTCTTAACCGGAAGCATGGTATGGTTTCCCTAGTGAGCATGATGTGTTGCTCCAGTTGTGATATGGAGGATGCCTTTCAATCGGGAGCCTGGTATGGTTGCCCTAGTGGACGTGATGTGTTGCTCCGGTCATAAGATAAAGGGTACCTCTCAATCGAGAGTGTGGCATGTGATTGTGTTGAGTCTGATCATGAGACGGAGGATTCATCCGATCGAGGCTGGAGTCTCAATGATCATTGTACTCCCAAATATGTATGTTTTGATGGTGGTACTGCTCACTGTGTATTTGTATGTATATGTATAGTTTTGGACTTGATATGTGATACATATCTCAACATGTATAGTTAGGTATTATCTGTATTTACTAAGTTTCGTGACTTACATATTATCATCACTCTAGATTTGTTTTGCTGTACTTGTCTCGATTAGCATGCCAAAGTGAGAGTTGGCGACTACGGCGTTGATTGATGTATGAGCACTCCTTTTTTGTATCTTTTTCCTATTATATTTTAGAATAACTTTCTTGTACTCTCAAACAGGATTTTTAGTTTTGTATTAGAACAGCATGTGATGTTTATATGTGTTTTGTTTGGTTTTTTTGAGTATGGTGTGTTGTTGTGAGGCTAACTAGGGTCGGGGACCCTAGTGCCGTTTACGGGCTCGAAGTTTGGGTTGTGACATATATTGTGTATATATATATATATATATATATTAGTGGGCAAGTTAACTCGTTGTGAGTTTTTAAAACCTTAACTCGTCACCCAACTGCATAATGGGTAGGTTGCAAAATTATAAAGTGTTAAGAGGAAAATATTAGATTAAACTGGTGGATTGCTGTTTAACATCCCAGCCTGAACTTGGGTTGTAAATTATCATTCAGCATTACCAAAAGATAAATAAGGGGTTATATAGGAGAAATTCAATAAAGGATGAATAGGAGAATAACATGTATTACGTAAGTGTCTAACTGCCATAGGAATCTTTAAAGTTTGGTTTTGAAGTTTACGATCCCTTGTTGGGAAATTTTAGGTAGTCTCCAATCTAAATTAGGCCGAGGAAAAACATTAAAATTGTGGATCTTTAAGTTAGTGAATGACAAGTTTTGGAATCAATCCAATCTGATCACTTTAGCATAAGTTATAAGCATTTCACTGAAAGAGGTGCAAAGTTGTTGATTGTAAAATAAGTGATAACTTTGACTCATTGTTGGGCTAGATGCGGCCTCTCTCTGGTTAAAATTAGATGTAGGTCAAAATAGAAAAGTTGTGAGTCCTTAAAATAGCTTTACAACCCAATTTTAATGATATTGATCTGAGTTGTTGTAACTCAAGTTATAGCCCAAAAATTGAGCAAAGGTCTAATGAGAGGTTTTATGCTGATAGTGCAAATTTCGGGCCAGTTTCAAACCTTCTATGTACAGAATCAAACCAAGTGTAAAACATAACACTTTTAGATCATTAAGTTAGCTTTAAAACTCTTTTTGAATGATGTCATTCTGAGTTTTTTAGCTCCAAATATTGGCATTTTACTGCAAACTGCGCAATGAAAGTAATGGTAAAAAGGAGTGAGGGCATAAAAGTAAGTTGATAGGCTTGTGGGGCCCACTTCCACTGACCTAAGGGATTTATAAATACCCCTTGGGGGCCTCCAATTGTAGCATAGGGAAGCCAAGAGAGAGGAAAGAGAAAGGGGAGGAAGAGGAAGAAGAAGAGGAAGATAAGAAGAGAAAATGAATGAAGAAAGGTAAGTAAAAACCTAAAAACTTTCTAGTTTATAAAAGTTTATATATATTTTTCATACAATATGCATAGTAGAAGTTTATGTATATTTTTCATACATTATGTATAATCCTTCTATACTTTATTACATGTAGGAGTTATATGACATTTTGTTAACTTCAAAAGCATGCTAGAATAATAGGAAGAATTGAAACTCTAAGTACAACATTAAAGATTAAAACTTCAAAATAATGTTAGAATTAGTTTAAGGATACATCTTTCATGAATTATTTCATATTTCTTTTAAGATTTTATAAAATTTTAAGGAAAGATTACGGTACAATATCAAGGATAGTCGAACCATAAGAAGGGATGAAAGCTAAATATAGGAAATGAAGATTAAGCGAACACCCAAGGGTAATAGAATAGGAAAATAATAATTAGTTTATCTAGATCTTTTAATATGCATTTTCATTTCACATTTAGAGTATATAACTTATATCTATATACGGTTAACTTATAGGAAAATGAGAAATAATAGACTACATATCAGATGAGTGGCATTTTCCTAATTTTAGTTATTATCTAAAATATGTTTTCTAATAAATAAAATCTATTTTTCAAAAATATTTTATATTGATATATAAAAATGAAAATACGTCAGCTATGTTCTGATTTCAGCCGTATGATGGATTTGATGATATTCATGATTTTCTAATATTTTGTACTTTGGCATCAAAGTTAAATGTCAGGCAACCACCCGAGGCAGGTGGTAGTTATACATGCATCACAGTAGATGATATAGCATAGCATTTGAATCCCTCAACGTAGATTACATGGTGCAGTAGTGCCTGACATGTTTTATGATTTGTATATTTTTATGATTTTGCTGCCCTTAAATGCACCATTATTGGTTGTACACACCAACCAAATCACACACATGATATATGCACTATGATTTTTTATGATTTTAGATTTTCTATGTTTTCTTTACTTTCTTCAAGTACATGACCCGATATCCTAATTTGATGATTATTATGCAGACATGAAACACGGATACATGTACGATTCCCATGATTTTCAGAGACATGATTTTCTGACACAGATGTGATTTTTTTTAATGATTTGAGCTTTCTTATGGATTCCATACTTTCTGTATTTTCAGTCATATCAGTTTATCTCATCATCTGATGTTACCATACAAATTTTGATTTCTTGATCAGAATTCATAAGTTACATTATTGTGCTGAATTTTTATAAAAAGGTATGTTAAACATTGTATGATAAAATTCTGATTATTTCCACTAAGATCAAGCAGCGTGCCATTCATCGAATGAATGTCTTATTCCCTATTTTTCCTACGCAAGAATTAGTCTGGACAGTAGCCTTGCATCATGCGTAGTGAAGGTTGGGCCAGCACAGTTAAATCAGCTTAAGGTGAGTTTATATACTATTTCAGGCAGTTGTAAATTTATGCCAGGTAGATGAGAAGAATAGTTAATGATAAAATATTAAAGTAGGGTTAGCTGATGTGCTACTGTGTCAAGAATATAGTGGTATGTTAGCTGCTGCCCGACTATCATATCTTACCGGTCAATGGAGGTTGGGTGTGACATGCTGGTAGGTTCAAGTTGCTCACTCCTAAAAATTGCATAGAACATATATCCCTTAATATCCACCCTCATAGGCCTATTCGCAAGACTGGTCCAGATTGTGAACCAGCTTGCACCAAACATGTAAAAAATTGGATTGACTATTTCTAGTCTAGTCTTGTTTTGAATTGTAAGGATTAAGTACAGTTAAGGTTCATGATTTTTTGAATATGAATTAGAACCAGAATCATACCAGAACTAGTGAACTAAAACTAGATAGAATCGTGTTAATTGAACCGAATTTGAACTGTGAACTGTAAACATTAAATCGTGAACCGGAACCCTAAATAAACTATGAACCATGAACTGGAACCGTGGTGAGTCATGAACTAGACTGTGAGTGAATCGTGAATTCATTTTAATTTGTGTAGGAGGATTTCTATCTAATTAAAAAGTAAATTAAAAATTTCAGACTTTCTGAAAATAAATAACTCCTTAATCAACTCTAACTTTTAATTATAAGCAGCAAAAATCACAAAAAATCAGTAAATATTACTTCTTTTCTTTCATTTCTTTTTCTATTTTCCTTCAAAGTATTAGCATGTAAAAATTAAAAATAGATTTTAAAATTAAAACTTCTTAATTATGAAAAGTTAATAAATTTCTTCCTTTCTTTTTTTTTTTTAAAAATTTTCTGATAAATATTTATTTGGTGTAATTTAATTGTTATTGCTTTAAAGCTATTTAAGAGGCATAAATATAAGAATGTTTGGATTAAGAACATAATATCAAAATACTAATATAAATATAATTATGTTAGTATAATTATAAATACTAATATAAATGTAATTATAATATTTTATAATTATAATTGGAATGCCACCCAAAACTTTTTCAAAAGATATTCTAATTTGTTAAAATTTAACTTATAAATTGTTAATTGAATCTTATTTGTATAAAATTTTATAATATAATTTTATTACTGTTCATGTTAATCAAGTGACAGTATACTTAGGATAATGGGATGTTGCAAAAAGTTAATAGATGCCGGTGCTGCTCTTACGACGGAGGTTGGTTGTTTCCCTTCACTTGCAAATTATTCTTATTTTTATTCATATATCCGTTGATACGGCAAAGATTGGTTGTCTGTCTTTACTTGTATATGTTTAATTCTGTAGTCTGCTTAGAATTGTTCTTCTCTTCTCCTCAGATTTGTGTTCATCGCAAGATGAAGGTTGCTAGCAAAACTAACGACTCTGCTGGAGATGGGACTACAACTGCATCCGTCCTTGCTCGTGAGATTATTAAATTGGGCTTGTTAAGTGTCACTTCTGGTGCCAATCCTGTTTCAGTAAAGAAAGGAATTGATAAAACCGTACAAGGGTTGGTTGAGGAGATAGAGAAGAAATCTAGGCCTGTCAAAGGCCGTGATGACATTAAGGGTAAGTGGGTTACATCTTAATGATTTCCTTGTAAGGAATGGCTATTCGACTCCTATTCACTAGGCTTTATGTTTGCCTTCCAGCTATTGCTACTATTTCTGCTGGAAATGATGAGGTCATTGGGACCATGATTGCTGATGCAATTGACAAGGTTGGACCTGATGGCGTGCTGTCTGTTGAGTCATCTTCTTCCTTTGAGACAACAGTTGACGCAGAAGAGGGGATGGAGGTCTGTATTTTGTAAAATACATGCTACATATATTCTCCTTCATTTTTCCTTTCTTTTTATTACTGTGTGCCTGCCATTCGTTTGCACATAGACATGCAGGCAAACGTATTACATTTGTGGGTTGTCCTTTATTTTGTTTAATTTGACGCATTTCAAATGCACTTCGCTTTGCTTGCAGATTGACAGGGGTTATATCTCACCGCAATTTGTCACCAATCCTGGAAAATTAATTGTTGAATTCGAGAATGCAAGAGTACTGGTCACAGATCATAAGATCTCTGCAATAAAGGATATAATTCCTTTGCTGGAGAAGACCACTCAACTACGAGCTCCTTTGCTTATTATTGCCGAAGATGTCACTGGGGAGGCTCTTGCTACCCTTGTTGTAAACAAGTTGAGAGGCATTCTCAATGTTGCTGCCATCAAAGCACCTCGTTTTGGTGAGAGGAGGAAGGCTCTCCTTCAAGACACTGCAATTATGACTGGTGTGCTCCATGCAAAACTTATATAGTGTTATTTACTAGTTTTATTGTTTCATCCTCGATTTCTCTTTCTCAAACTGGAGGCTAACTGTTTGGTCTACATATATATCATTATTTTTTTTATTTTAAACAAGTAGTAGCTGTTTAATTATAAAAAAACCATATGGTTAATATTTTTTTTTCCTTCTCATTTTTGTTAGATGACAATTTTTTTTCCTCCTCCTATTAATTGTCTAGGCTCTAGAGTAAATGCACATCTTAATTAGATCTCTTTTGTTATATTGTTGTGAATGATGCATCTAGATTCCTTTTTTGTTGATTAGGGGCTGAGTATCAAGCTAGTGATCTGGGTTTACTTGTGGAGAATACTTCTGTTGAGCAGCTTGGTAGCAAGAAAGGTGACCATTAAGAAGGACTCCACTACAATTATTGCTGATGCTGCATCAAAGGATGTGATCAGGCTAGGATCTCACAGCTGAAAAAGGAGTTGGCTGAGACAGATTCAGTCTATGACTCCGAGAAACTTGCTGAGAGAATTGCCAAGTTGTCTGGAGGAGTTGCTGTTATAAAGGTGGGTGCTGCCACAGAGACTGAACTCGAGGACCGTAAGCTACGAATTGAAGATGCCAAGAATACAACTTTTGCTGCCATAGAGGAAGGGATTGTCCCTGGTGGTGGTGCTGCATTGGTTCATCTTTCAACTTACGTCCCTGCCATTAAGGACAAGCTTGAAGATGCTGATGAAAGACTTGGTGCTGATATTGTACAGAAGGTATGAAATGCATCACTATCTACTTTCCTTGAAATAGTAGGCAGCCAAAAACGAGCGGTCACCACAAGGTGGAAGTATAGGATAGCTGGACCTTGGTTGATATACTTGACAGAGACACTGCCAGGGTTTTTGAGGTTGTTTGGCTACCTCTCAAAAGCCTACGACTATTAACAAAAGTGCTTTTGGGGAAGCCCCATTTATTATCTACAAGAAAATCAAAAACCAGATTTCTCCAAAAGCTCTACTTCTGGAGAAAAGTAACACCCGAAACTTTAAGAAACATGCCCTCGCACCAAATTTAAAAATATTACTGTACTCCCAAAGTTGGGGCTTGCTCCAAGTTATGTTCACATGTTGCATGGGCATCATTTTTATCTGATAATTGGTGTAATTCTTCTTGTTGGATGTAGGCACTGGTTGCACCATCTGCTTTGGTAGCACAGAATGCTGGGGTAGAGGGTGAGGTGGTCGTGGAGAAGCTGTAGGCTAGGGAATGGGAGATTGGCTACAATGCAATGAGAGACAAATACGAGAACCTGGTTGAAGCTGGAGTGATTGACCCAGCAAAAGTGACAAGATGTGCATTGCAGAATTCAGCTTCAGTTGCGGGAATGGTCCTCACTACCCAAGCCACTGTCGTAGAGAAGCCCAAGCCTAAGGCACCTGTGACTGCTCAACCGCAAGGCCTTATGGTGTGATAACACAAATTTTTGATTGCTTTGTTAGTTTGTAGTGGCGATCAGCAAGAAAGGTGTTGGCGGGAATTGCTCGAGGGGGACTGGATAGCCTCTTTTTGTTCTGATATGTTGGTGCAATAGAAAATTTTAAAATTTGAAGTTTGTAGTTTTTTGGGGGTTGGGGACATGCTGTTGACAATGACATGAAATTGAGTTGCGTAACCTTCAGGGCGTTGTATAAAGCGTCTGCCTTTTCTCGATTTTCATTTTTAAGCTTGGATATGTACCCAGTAAACAGACAGTTCAAGTCTTACTCCCCTGATTATTTTTGATAGGTCGGCCGCAATTTACCGTGAAATTCCTCCCACTTGCCTTTGATTGGGGTGGTTGGGGTGGAAACGAAATTACCAATTGCTAATTCGCAGGCTCTTATTAGTTTCTCTGGTGTGCTTACATGTAAGTATTTTTATTGTGATCTGTTGTTTGGGGGGGGGGGGGGGGGGAATACACTTCAAGGAGTTGGCCAAAATATGTCCCAAGAATTGACATTATGCTTTGTTGCCCTTTGGATATAGCTAAACCATCAATTCAATCGCCGTCAGTAACCAATATAGAGCAGGACGGTTGGGAGAATGTCCTCTGTTTTGATGTAATACTTGCTTTTTGTAAACCTCCGCATACAGAGCTGGTTCCCTCCTTCCAGGTCTATAATAACTAACAAACCACTTTCCTTTGGTGGCTGGGTTAAGAATGTTTCTTTTCTCATTTTCTTCGTTTTTGTTTTTCCAATACTTAAAATCCAAATAATATATTTGGTACGTTTTAAGCTAGAGATTTGATACGAAGGATTACCAAGGGATTTTATTCGAACCATTTATGGATGAAGTTTCAAAAATTACCCCGTTCCATATTTTAATAATGAGAAACCAGTAATGTTCATGATGTTTTGTCATATTGTGCTACTTTGAGCTGCCAAATAAATGCGTTTTGATAGAATTGCTCCTCCTCTTGCAATGATACAATTATTTGAAGCCAAAATCCACCGAAAAAGCTCATACAGGGCACCTCTAAAATCTTTGTTTCTTGTTATTAAAGAGTGTGAAAACTTTGAAAAGATACAGTAGCAAATATTAAAACGAAAAACCAAAAACTGGGACTCCAAAAATTTTAGATTTTTGAATTTTGAAGCATTCTCTATTAACAAATTTGTCTAAAATTGAGATCTTATTTAAGTAACTACTCATGAAAATTGTATTGACGTTAAAATTATTGAGATTGTAGATATGAGTGCTACTTTAGGAAAAAAAACATATCATTTTGAGAATTCATTTTAGTAAAAAATTAATATCTTTAAATATATTAATTTTTTGTATAAAAATTTATTACTTACAAATGTTTGTGGTAATAAATAATATGGATGCATGGAATGACTGAATTACTACTTTTTGAAATTTTAATGCTATACATTTTAACCACTATATGATTTTAATGGTTAATCTTACCAAACTTTCCCTATGTGGTACACTAACAAATACAAAGTTAAAAGCTATTCTATGTTATTTAAATTTTATTATTGATTTTAAATCTCATTTGATATATAGATTTACCTCAAAATTCTTAGTGAATACTGTTATATAAAGGTTTTTATCATTATAATACATTTTTTAGAGTAAACTTGTAATTATATCATTTTAGATGCATCGTGAATTTTAAGAGAATGAAGTTGAGTTATAGTGATGCTTACAAAAGATTGAAGTTAAAAGGAACAAACAACCGATAAACATGCCTTTGATATTTTTAAATATTATATGAATAGAACATACTTTCTAAATACCTAAGTATCTATATTTTGTATGATAGAAAATCAAAGATAAATAATCAGTTATAGATAATGTAAATAGTTTTCAATTATTAATTTTTAGTTTTTATAATTATTTATAACATACAAATTAACAAAGATAAACTATTTTACGACAGAACATGGCAGACATATTCCTCTTTACCACATACTATACAGACAGTGGTCTAGGCACTATATAGACATTCCACTGCCTCACTAGTGCTTTCTTATTACAGGTTATCTGAGGCAATAGAGCTCTCTAGTTGTTGATCGAAGCCCCCTCTTGAGCCCTTACCTTCTTCTTGCAGAAGAATCGTGTCAACTTACCAAACCATTCCTTGGTCAATAAGCTACCATTGTTTGTAGTTGAACCACCTGCAAGCAGTTCTTGGCCGTCCTGTCCAAACCAATCTTGAACAAGTTATAAAAGAAAACAGAAGGTGGAAGTAGTGCCAGTGAGCAGATAGAGACCCCAGAAACTTTTCCAACTCAGGCTGCTGGTTTGGGAGGAATCGTTGAGTGTTGAGCACTCACTGGAGGGGGAAAACCACTTGTTTTCAAGTTCTTTCAGCTCCCCACTTTCTGATAAATTGAGAATGGCTTCTGAGAAATCAGCGGCTATCGGGGAGCCTTTTTGGAATACCTGCATGGATATCATCAGCAAGAAAAATATTCTTTTCTATTGTTTAATAGAAAATAAAGTAACTTTTATAATGGTTTAGTCTAGATTTTTCTAGCTCACAAAAATATGCTCATGTAAAATAGATTGAAGAAAAATATCACCAGCAAGATGGAAATTAGTAAATATAAAATATATTCTAAGACCATCATATGAATAGGAAGAGAGAGGAGGTCTTGAGGCAACCAAAGGCAAAGTTGGATCCACGATATTCGTATTCATAAAATGGAAACTTTGTAGGGTTGGATCCTTCCCAGTTTTCCCTTGGGCGGCAAATGTATAATCCGTTTATTTATTTGTCTAGGAAGTACATCAAACATAATTTCAAAAAACTTTTTTCTTTATTTTTACAAATTTCAAATAATTTATCATTGAAAATGAAATAATATTTTGTTTTCCAATAATTGTTTTTTGGTGTCAAAAAGGGGATAAATGAAAAATGATGGTAAAAAGCCATGTAGTAAGTTGCGAACACACTTGCATTTATATAGCTGTCCAACATTTTGTGTTTTAAATATCAAGAAATGTGAGAAATGACATCCAGAAACACAAACAGAAGACAAACCCAAACATGCATGAATTTAAAGAGCAAGTTAATATTATCTATGAACAACTACTTACAAATCCAAGTCCACCAAACCTATCCGGGAGCTCTGTGCCACTGTACCCGGTGCAATACTTCTGAAGAAAGGCCTTTTCATAAGGAAGTTCAAGGAAAGCAGCGGAGATATTTCCGCTTCGAAATTCATCAGGATATTCTTCTTCCTCGCTAATGTTTTTGATGTTGTCTAACTCCAAACCAAGCACATCTACCAAGTATTTCTTTACGAAGGAATCGCCATCACAGCCGACATTTCACCTGCCTCTTCAACCACTCCACGGTCGTGACATTTGGCTACAGCCTCTGCATTGTCAGCATTGAAGACAAGTTGGCCGTGTAGCTCGAGTTCAAAGCCAGTGCCACAAAAAGCCATACGAGCACCACCACTCTAGTGTAGCTACTGCGAACATTTCTCCTGTGTCATATGAGAGAAATATGGTCAAAAGGGAATCCCTTATATTTAGTTCTTTCATTACTTTTTTCTCTTATCCTTTTTTTCCTATTCTATTAAAATTTTCAAATTGTTTATTTGGTAGAAATTTTGTCTTATTTATAATACCTTATGTGCTGTATTTTGCAAAGCTTAATTTGAAGCTTTTGGAAGTTAGTTTTAACTATAATAGCTTCCAAATTAAAGTGATTAAAACTCATGGACAATAACTGACTAGAAGTAAAAACGGGGTTGACAATTTCTTTAAATAATTAAATTGCAACAATAGAAATGCTTTTAAGAAAATGAGAACGATCCATTTTTTTCCCTAGAGTTTAGCCCAAGCTTGCAAACTAGCAAATATATAGAGGGGAGAAAGGAAAAAAAATAAAACTAATTATATACCTAACATAAATTCTATATTGACAATCAAATTAGTAAAATTTCTAATTTCATAAATTCAATGAAGTTTGTAATCTGATTATTTTCAACAGTTTCTTTTTCTGCAAAAATATAACATTCTTTACTCAAGGATTCAAAAATGAACAGTTGAGCTATCTGTTTCAAGGATCAAAATGCTACAAGCTCAAGTCAGCCTCTCAAGGGAAACTTACAACTATACTTAAAATATAAAGGTTAATCAAATCCAACGTTAATTCAGTGAACTTTGCTATCATATATAGCAAGGGACTTACTGTGGGCAAAGAAAAGTGAAGAGTAAGTGAACCACAATGCAGAGCCCAGCTGACATTTCCATGGCCCTTCAACTACTGGGTTAGTTTGGCGCTCCAAAAGCCACACTATGACAATGGTGTACATCAAGTTTCTCGGTTACTATCATGGTTAAGCATGATTCTT